TCAGATGTGAGCTGGCAGGCTAAAAAGGGTGTTTTAGCCTCTGTGGTAGAGGTAGTGATTTAAAGCAGAGACAAGACAGAGTTAAAGGGTCGGATTTTCTGTAGAAAAAGGTCTCTTCATTTTCTGAGCAGAAAATTCAGCTTCCTTGGCTCAACGGCCCATGTGGGCCTGGCTTGAAGGTGAAGGAAAGTGATTGTGTCCAGAGTCCTCCATCCTTTGGCTTTGCTGAGAGTCCATTTGGAGAGAGAACAGGCACAGCCCAGCCCGGAAGCTCCAGAAGTCATTTACCTTGATTTCAGCTTGCCTCAGGGACACTGCTTGAAGGGTTCCAGAATGTCATTACTTAATAGGAAATTTATGGGGCTGCTTCCTCCTGGTGGGATGGGCTTGTCTCGCTCCCCTCCCTCCCCCCAGCAACCTGCGTCCTTGTGGCTGACAGAGCTCCACTGTCCTAGGGCCAGAGCGTCTCCTTCAGGGTGGGGCTGCTCCTGTCCTTTGTGTGCCATAGCTCACCTGGCACATGCTTGGCTGTGTAATTCCTGAGCTGCTTTCTAGGAGACCTCTTAATAGTGGAAACCAAACTGCACATCATTCTTGATCCTCACTTAATGAGATCCTCACTTAATGCCACTCTCCCTCCCATGCTTGCTTCTCTAGCACATCCAAGACTCCCTTCCTGATGGGCCCAGAGTTACATTCATCCCCTTTTGCTTCTTTGGACATATTGATCCTGCTGCATGAAAACCCCTCTCCCAAACGACTCCAGGTGTCCTTAAACCCCAGTGACATATTTCCTTCTCTGTGGTGCTGCCCCTCTGTCAATACTTGTGTCCAAGCACTCAGCATATCCTGTATCTTTCTGTATCTCATTTGTGGCCACCGTCTCTCCCTTCTGTCTTACTAGCCCCAAACCCCAGTTTCTGTTGTTGCCCAGTAAATGATCGTCCCCATCCACTTACCTATGGAGGGTTTGCGAGGGAGAGCTCCATAGTCTCTGCCATCTTGTGGATGCCTCTCCATCCTCCCTCCTTCCAGCAGTTTTCTACAAATTCTTCTAGCCCACTGGCTTCCCCACCTGGAATCTGCAGTAAGTTTTGGCTGACTCTCCTCTGGAGAGGGTCACAGAGTGAGGCCACAGGCCAGGCTGCCCTCACCACTCCCACTTTATCCTTGTCCTTCCCTGTCTTGATACTTGCATCCTTAACTGTGGGGTTTTTTTCTTTTTTTTTAAATGAGTTTACTGTTTTGTTTATAGTACCTTTATTTTGAAAGGAAGCTAAATCAGGAGCCACACATGGATATCAGTAAAATTAAAAACCACGAGAACAGGGCTTCCTGGGTGGCGCAGTGGTTGAGAGTCCGCCTGCCGATTCAGGGGACACGGGTTCATGCCCCGGTCCGGGAGGATCCCACATGCCGCGGAGCGGCTGGGCCCGTGAGCCATGGCTGCTGGGCCGACGCGTCCGGAGCCTATGCTCCGCAACGGGAGAGGCCACAACAGTGAGAGGCCCGCATACCGCAAAAAAAAAAAAAAAAAAAAAAAAAACCACGAGAACAAAACAGTGATGTTAAATTCCATCCAAATAATAGTATTGTCTGCTGACACCTCTGAGCACAGCCTTTCACACTGGCACAAACAGGGACTTTCCTTGTCAATGCTGGAATGAGAATAAAAGGGAATGAAAAGAGGGGAGTAAGTAATTAAATGCCATCTACCTAAAGGCAGTCTGTGCTTCCCTGGTGACTTCAGGGACACGGTTCTGTGAACCCTCCCATGGCCCCACCTGAGCCCTAGCATGTCACTCTGCAGGTGGCTATAGACCCTGCTTCTCTGAGATTGAGGTCCCACTCTTTATCAACTAAACCTCAGAACTTGGAGAAATCTTTTCTCTCTTCCTTGCCCAGTCACTTTAGGAATGAAGGCATGCTTTTTGTCTGCAAAGCTCCATGCACAGCCAAACACAGCTTCCAGGTACTGCCTCCTTCTGTCGCCTCCTTAGGCTACCCTCACATCCTGCCTTAGGTCAGCAGTGACATGCTCTCAGCCAGATTCCTCCCTTCCTCCCACATTACACTCAGTGTCGAGTGATTCAGCCTAGCCCCTTGTTCTCTCTTCCCTCTGTTCTGTTCTCTGAGCAAGCCCTTTCTGATGATTCTACACCTTATCCCAGCCTTTGGATGCTCCCTCTCCCTGGATCTGTATGTGGCCTCATCCTGCTTTCTTTGGGGTATGTTTACTCAAGTCAGGGCTCTAGGATCCACCCTGTCCTTTCCAAGCTCCCAGCCAGGTGCACTTCATGTACCTCCCTTCCACCAGTAGCACCTCCATCCCCACTGTCCCACCTTGATTCATTGCATGACACTTCTTCCCAGGACCACATGGCGCTTAGTTCTGGCCATACTTGTACCAGAAGTACCCCTGATGGGAAAAGGAAAGTGCCTTGTATCCCCAGAGCCTGAAGCAGGCCTATCCAGTCATGTCTGCCTTTGGAAACTATTGTAGTCCACAATGCTCCTTCGAGCTTGTTGTGCTATTGCAAAGTTTCATCAGCCTATCATCAAATTAAGTTGCTTCGGGAAATGTCCCTTCGTGGTCCTGAACTCCTAGCACACTGCTCTCTTGGCTTCAGGGATGCTTTCACGGGCTGCTGGCCAGCCAGTCTCCACCTCCAGTCCCCATCACATTCTTATGCCAGATGCCCATCTGGTTTTAGCTTTGGGTGCCCCTTCCCCATCTCTAGCACCGTGTGTGCAAGAGAGGTACCAGGGATCTGCTTTGCACCTACAAACCCTCCTTCCTGTAAGTGTTCTTCCTGGGCTGGTGGTCTCCGTGTAGAAAACTTAGAAGTTGTCATAGGAGCTGTCCCTTCCCTCTTGGGTCTTGGGAGTTACCTGGGAGGGCGTAAACTCTAAATTCTTGCTGGCATCTTGAAAGCAGTTGGACATCATTAAATAGTTAAGTTTAGCATCAGATGCAAGACCACATCTAGACACCTAACTCACACTGCTGTAACACACCCTTCCTCCAGCACTGGACAATTGCTAAGATCCAGAGTCTTGCATGCAGTGGCCATGGGCTGCTCCCGCGCAGGTTCCCGCCCTGCAGCAGTGTTTTCCTTGGGGCAGCACTCTCTTCATGTGTTCTCTCTGGCCATTTGATAGCTAGACCTGTAATCAACCAGAGCACCCTGGAAAGAAAGCGATCTCCTTGGCCATGTCAGTTTTGTCAGGCCTCGGGCCAAGAGGTCCAGCTCTCCACAGCCCCCCATGATGAACTCACCACTGAGTTGCTTTTACATAGCAAGTTCTCCCGTTGTGCTTTAAAATTCGGTAATTTGCTGGAACTGCATTTACAGAAACCACTGTGAGAACCTTGTTTCAAATTACACTTGGACTGAATTATAAAGTAATTCATCAGCAACTAGAGTGCCTAGTATGTGCTAAGTGTGTTCCAGAAAGAAAGCTGTGACAGAGACAGCCAGCTTGCTGTGTTTTTTCTTGTGCCCTCTGCCTACCAGCTCCTGTGGTCCTAAAAATCTTCCCTCTTTTCCTAAGCCCTTGCCTGACTTCCTCAGCCACAGAGGTTTTCTTACCCTCACTGAACTCCTAGGTTTATTACTGGAGTTGCTCATTACATGCAGGCAGCTCCTAGCTTACTTTCAGTCTTTCTTCCTGCAGGGACTGATCATTCCTTTTTCTTGCCCTCAGAAAGGTGTCGGAAAAATAGTGCACAAAAAGTGCAGATGATCAGTACTTTTGAGCAGATGTTTCTTCTCATTAATGGAGTAAAGAAACTC